GCAGCTCCTGAATTACAGGTGGATTCTTTACAGCTGAGCCACCAGGAATTTCACATCCTTAAATCTAGCCCAATAAGAAAGCCATACTCCTTTCACATATGACTTTCCAGCTGAAAAAGATGCTATTCATTGTCTAATTGTTCACCCAAAGCATTCTTTAAGATGAATTACTGTGAAAAAAAAATCTGGTAAATCTCATCCCAGTTTGGGACTTGGCCACATCAATGTAGAGGGTGGAAAGAACTCCTGGCTTGACATTTTAATATAGAACAGTTCTGGTTGTGGGCTGAATTCAAAAGAAAGTGGAAGAAGAATACAATGGTTAACATTGTTACAGAAATCACTGTTTTCCTACACTTTCACTATGTCAGCCATGCCCTGATTGGTTATGCGAGGAAAATATCAGTTTTTTCAAGAGAAATATGATACCAGCTTGAGGTTCAGGAAGTCCAAGTCTTCATTTTCATCTTTTCTTACTCTTCATACTCCTGAACAATGAAGATGCTTCATTCCCAGCCATTTTTCTGGATAATGATCAGATAAATGATTCAGTATAGCTAAGCTTTCCATTTCTTTTTTATGTTTGTGATTTTTACTTATAATTTTTTTAAAATTTATTTACTTTCTGCACTGGGTCTTAGTTGTGACATGCAGGATCTCTGTTGCATCATGTGGGGTCTTCTCTTGTGGCAGAGGGATTTCTAGTTGTGGAACAGGGTCTTCAAAGCACGGAGGTGTGCTTGCTCCAGAACACAATTACTCTGCATTCCAAGGCAGACTTTTAAACACTGGACCACAGTGTGGTTCCCAATCTTTCCATTTGCTTTCCTAAGTATTTCCCTTAGCAGATCAATCCTAGGTGCCTGTCTCATAGAGAAGAGGTTGAACAGACTCCACCAGCTCCTAGGGGAGTTAAAAGAAGATGCGGCCTGACAAGCCGCTTGCCTGAGGCCTGAAGATAGAGGCCTGCTTTTAGGGAAAAAAACTGTGGCTTTATTAGAAAGGGGTGAGTAACAACTGAATATAAATGTTGGGGGATGGGCGATGAGCTAAGGATTTTGCTGTTCAAAGTAAAGAGAATCGGCAGCAGGAAGTGAGTCAGGGATTGGTCTATCCTGTGTACTAGGGCTGTTTTTCAGCAGCAACAAGCAAAATTTCAGTGCAGTGTAAAGGTAGGCTGAACCAATGTGCTTCTCCCAGACAGCACAGTGGTACACGCCAGAATCACTTTCTTGTAGATTTGAGTTTACAAATTTATATGTCTTGTCTGTGGCTTCATAAACATTATATTTCCCTGGACTGATTCCTGGTTCCAACACAACCTTTGAGTAGTAGACATCATAGTAGAGAAGGCGTCGGGGTACAGCTCCCTCCTGGAATTTGTACCAGTGGATATATTTGACGTTTTGTGTAGGAAGATCACAAGGGATTACAGCAGAGGACCCCGTCGCCCTGGTAATTGACATCCTGGCCTCTTCCATGTTGGAAGATGCCCGAGTGACTGCAATGGGAGAAGCAACAAAAAATCATGAGGATGAGGAAACAGCATTTCTTAGTATGACCCACTCCACGCACACACACACATACACACCATTGCCAAAAAATACAGAAAAATCCCAGGAGCATCCAGGCAACACACTCACCAAGAACCAAGAACACCAGAAGCAGCGCTGGGGCCCGCAGCATGGCTGGGACATTAGCGAGACTGGGTTCCCAGCAGATGTGACAGGCAGGGAAGTTAGCGAGAATCTCTCTTAAAGGCCACCAGGCTGGGCACAGAAGGAGTGGGTGCTGGGGGAGGCGGGCAGAGGAGCCCCGCCTCTCTACACCAACCCCTTTCTTGAGGGCCCCCTGTGGCAGGCTGGGAGCAGCCACGTCCCCCACAGGAGAAGAGAAGCTTGAGTTTTGAGAGCTCAGGACTGCAAGCAGAGGGATCAGGTTGGAGGTGGATGGAGAAACACGGACAAAGCTTGCCTGTTGCCTAGTGGAGTGAGCAGACCTTAATCGGGCTAAGTTCCCTGTAGCTCAGGCTTTCAGTGTTAATGCTGCTGCCAAGGTCTTGTCCGGTGATGAAATGTCTATAGTCTTTCCCCGATCTACCTTTCCTCTTATACCTATAAGCAAAGTTTGAGACAACAAACAGCAAACCCAATAAGAACTGAACCTGTTTTGTTAAAATTAAGATTATAATGTTGGTCTGCATTTGACTATAACAAAGGGATATGTGTGAGTGTGTCTGCATTACAAATCATTCTGATAGAGAGTGTATGTTCATCTCCCAAGTAAAAAGCCACCTCACATTGGGTTTCCAGATTTCTCAAACGACAAAAATAAAAGCAAGAAGCTTTGCAGTATTTGTGTGTTTAGTGATTGTTTGTAGCACAACATAGTGCCTAACTGGGCAAGTCTCCTCTCTTGCAAAATGTAACAAAACATAAAACAAAAATAGAAACTTTTCTTCTTTTCCCAAATATTCTTGGGCTTATTTTACTCATCTGTCCATCCAAATGAATTTAGAATCACTTTGTCGTGTTTCAAAATGTCCTGCTTTCCCCCATCACTATAAAACAGCTATTTAGATTATTGGTTAGAATTGTGGCAAAGCTATGAATTCATTTGGCAAGAACTTAATGTTTTTCAATATCCAGTTTTCATTTTGGGCCACATGGTTTGTCTCTCCTTTTATATTACTTCTTTGTTCCTCAGTAAAAGTTGTATAGTTTTCTTTATATCAGTCTTCCATATTTCTAGTTAATATTATTTTTAGGAATTTTCACTTTTAGTATTGTTATAAGTAAATATATTTTGTATTTAACATCTTTATTCAGATTGGCATGACTGAATTGGGTAACAAATTCAGTTAGAGGTGTATCTATAATTTATATACATATAAGAAGTGTATCTATAATCTATAACCAACAGAGGTATATCTATAATTTGCCTACAGGCATATATAGTTGGTGTCCTAAGATTCTTTATATTATAAAGAAAATGTGTTTTAAGATTTTTAAGTGATCAAGAGAGTGTGATATGACTACAGATTCATTCCTGTGGGAGTTTATGAATTTAAATTGGAGGAGAGCTTTGCCCTTAATAGCTGTATGAGATTGGGCAATGTCCTTTCTGACTAGTGGGACATCAGTATACCCTACTATTGCCTCCTGGCTAAATGTCAGTCTTTTTAGCTTGGAACATCGAAAGTGCTCAATAATTATTAGATAGAAAATTAATAATAAAACAACTTATGAGAAGATAATTGGAAGAAATGACCATCCTCATTAATTTAGTGGCAGATAATACTTAGCATCTCTTTGAAACTGAGCAAGGTTGAGTGCATCTGCATATCTTATTTTTCTTCTCCATTCAAATCCCATTCATTACCTTATAGTCAGTGTTCATATTTCTGATCTGTTTTTCCAGCTATCAGGATATGTCTTATTATTATACTTGTTAACTATTTTTAGAGAAAAATATTTCTAGCTTGATGTTAATAAAATTCATAAAACTATAAACTAAAAAAAAAGAAGCTTTGCAGTTTAAGTTTAACAAACTTAAACTAAAAATAATATTTTGTTTATCTGAAATTCAGGGAAATGCAAATCAAAACAACAATGAGATTTCACCTCACTCCTGTCAGAATGGCTAATATCAACAAGGCTGGAAATAACAAGTGTTAAAGAGGTGCAGAAAAGAGAAGACTTGTGCACTGTTGGTGGGAATGTAAACTGGTGTAGTCACTATGGAGAGCAGTAGGGAGCTTCCTCCATAAGTTAGAAATGGAACTATCACATGATCCAGCAATTTCACTTCTGGGTGTTTATCCATAGAAAACAAAAACACTAAGAGATACCAGCACCTTGTGTTCATTGTTTATAACAACCAAGACACAAAAACAACCTAAGTGCCAAAAACCAGATGGACAGATAAACTAGGCATGGTATATATGTACATATATATGGTATATATGTGTGTTGTATGTATATCTATCTATATATATATATATATAGAGAGAGAGAGAGAGAGAGATAATTACCATTTTGTGCCCTAATTATCTGGTGGATTTAGAGAGCTCTACTGAAGTGTTTTGGAGATTCTGAGATGACAGATGTGGTCCAGCTACAGAAGATGGAATCCATGTGCATCCAGGTCTGATAATATTGTTCAGTCCCTTCCAAATATCAAAGGAAATATTTCGGTATCACACATATGAGCATATTAACATACAGTCAATTATAAAAGCAGTAACTCTGCTTAAATATTTAACCAAGAAGAGAAAGAGTAGATCTTATAATTTTATCTTATAAAAAAAAGTAATCTGTAACTATATACAGTGAGGGATATTGACTTAATGTGGTGACCATTTCAATATATATAAAAATATCAAATTTCTATCTTGTAAAACTGAGAATAATGTAATATTTTATGTCAATTTTATTTTTAAAATATGTTTTTTAAAAAGAGAGAAAAGT